CAACTCGAGCTCGACTGAGCTCGAGCTCGAGTCTCAATTTTAAGGCTCGCTAGGCTCGAGCTCGAGCTCGACACTGTTGTAAACGGGCCGAGCTCGATAAGCCAAAAACTCGACTCGGCTTGGCTCGTTTACACCCCTATATAGAACTAATGGATTAATGGTTCAATTCAGATCATCAAATCTTTTATTAAATAGAGGGGTCAAAACCTTATCTAATAAATTCATTTGATTTTGGATTTGAGTAAATTATTACAGGTGTTTTAGGATTCATTGATTTGCAATTTGATTGTAAATAATACTGGAAAAAAAAATGTTATAAATGTATTTGATTCAAAGCTTATGAAAATAATTATCCCAAACTTAAGGTAATTTCAGTAACTTTATTTAAGGTTGTCGCTTGCTTCCAACAAAGTTATTACACAATTTGACCAAATTTGAAGACTTGTTCCTGGATGGATCTTCTCTCTATGTAAGACTTCTTCAGAGCATTTGGCAAAAAATATATATAAACAAAAAAATATGAGATGTAGACCTAAATTTCGAACCTAAAATCTGAATATCTAATAAATTTGTTTCTAAGAGGTTTCTTTTTTGTAATGTTTTACTTTTGTTATTTTATTTTAATTTAATTTAATTCGTGTTTAGTTTTTTTTTTTCAAGCTATTGAATTGTGGATCTAAGTCTTCTCATGCTTCTCAGTGTCGTATTTTACACTATTCAGAGTAGTTATTATTTTGTTTATTTTCTTATTGTTTTGAGACTTGAGCTAAGTCACGAAAGTGGAATTTCATTAGTTAATGAACAATTATATAATAACTTAGGATGTCTTTATGTAAATTTTATAAGGATTATGCTTAAATATCCATGGATATATTTGTAAAAATTATCAGTATCACTAAATTGCTTCTTTTGTAACTAGTGAACTCTAAAACAATTATAGAGAACAAAAAATCCAACTGTATAATAATATATGGTCTTTGGCTAGAACAAGTTATATGGGTTGAATGTTGAATCCAACAACTTCACCTTGTTCACCAACTAACTTACTTTTTTCTAGAATAAGAACAAAAAAAAAACAATTAAAAAAGACCAGAAATGGAACAATATATTAAGATATTATCTCCACTTATAATTTCTTATATAGGTAGCCGTCAACAACTTTCCATGTATTATTCCAAAGAAAGAAAAAGGTGAATTTAACTATTAATATCGTTGGAAAACAATTAAAATTCAAATATAGCGTGAAAGTAATGACTTTAAGGTTAAATTAATTAGGCTAATTACTTTCTCACCACTTTAAGACTTCAACAAATTAAGTAATTGACTTGAAAATTTGGGTTATTTTCATACATCTTTTAAGAAAAATAGTATTCTCTTGTCGTGTAAAATGTGTTTGAGCTTGTTTTCTAAATAAAATAAAATGATCAACAAAAAAGCATATTTATTTATAATATTGTTGTTGAATTGATTAGATGAAACAACCACTAATTGATTCGAAAGTCTACAACCTTCATTATGAGATATGTGTATCACATGAGATAAGACTATAAACCTAAAGTCTTGATTTCTAATAGACTAGCAATATGTATAACTTTTTTAAAAAAAAATATTCAGATAAACTCTTTAAATTTAAATTTTATGAAGTACAAAAGTTAAAATAATCTTTAATTTTAAAATTGTAAACATATAAAAAATCATTAGGGGAAAAAAGATGATTTGAGAAAATAAAAATATGTTTATATGTACGTTTTAGAGAAAATATAGAAATTCCTCTTCCATTATGAACTCAATCCAAACAATTGCACTCACACAGCTCCAACCCAAACACTCAATCCAGGTCTGCTACAACCCCACACAATTGCAGTCCACACAACTCATGGGGTCTCACATAAACTAGGCACGGTCAAACTTAGTTAAGGCTAATTAAGCACGCTTAAGTCTACTGGTTTATAAAAAGGGATAAGCCTCCCATTCAATAAGGCTTTATTAGGTTAAGAGTCAAGCCCACCTCAAATTCTATTATGATATCAAAGCTAGATCTAGTTGAGCTGAGTGTTTGACCAGAGGGTGAGGAGTTAGAACCAACAAATACCTCCATCAACAGGCATGACCCAACATATGGGCTTGACCATGAGAGTAAGTGTTTGAGTCTTACATCGACTATGCACGCTCAAGCCTTGTTGAGGCCGATTAGATACACTTAAACCTACTAGTTTATATAAAATGAGGTAATCTTCTCATTCAATAAAGTGTTTGTGAGTGAGGAGTCAAACACACCTCACATTCTATCAAGAACTTGTTATATGGGTTGTATCCAACAACTTCATATTATTCTATAATTTTATTTTATTTATTTTCACCTACTAACCTGCTTTTTTCTAGAAGAAAAACGACAAAAAAAATTAAAAAGAACCAGAAATGGAACAATATATTAAGATATTATCTCCACTTGTAACTTCTTACATGGGTTGCATCCAACAACTTCCCATGCATCTTTAACAATTAAAATTCAAATATCGAGTGAAACTGTGAAAGTAATGTCTTTAAGGTTAAATTAATTAGGTTAATTACTTTCTCACCACTTTAAGACTTCAACAAATTAAAGTAATTGACTTGAAAATTTGGGTTACTTGCATACGTCTTTTAAGAAAAATATTATTATCTTGTTGTGTAAAATGTGCTTGAGCTTGTTTTCTAAATAAAATAAAATGATCAACAAAAAAGCATATTTATTTATAATATTGTTGTTAAATTGATTAGATAAAATAGCCACTAATTGATTCAAAAGTCTACAACCTTCATTACAAGGTATGCTTGTCATATAAGATAAGACTATGAACCTAAAGTCTTGATTTCTAAGAAACTAGCAATATGTATAACTTTTTAAAAAAATTATTCAAATAAACTATTTAAATTTTAATTTTACGAAGTACAAAAGTTAAAATAATCTTTAATTTTAAAATTTTAAACATATAAATAATCGTTAGGGGAAAAAACATGATTTGAGAAAATAAAAATATGTTTTATATGTATGTTTTATAGAAAATATAGAAATTCCTCGTCCATTATGAACTATAAAGTACCATCTATATTGTATTTTTTAGTTTATTTTATTTTGTGATTAATTAGTAAACCAATTTCATATAAAGACTTTGAATAAGTGAACATTAGTAATAAATTAAAGAGATTATAATGGATATTGTGACAATTGCATAATAATTTCATGGGCCACATTCATCCCTCTTGCAGGACAATATTTTAGGGAAAGTAAACTATTAATTAGGAATCAATTGTCTTTTTATCCCACAATATCAGTATTAATTAAAGGTAAAATTTGATTTAAAAATCAATTATTCTACGTAATAAAGATCTATTTTGTTGTAAACTATTTCAACCTAATATATGTAATGATAATTACTTAATTAGGCAGCCAATGATTACTATCTTTAATAAGTGAAATGGGTTATTTCATATTATATGTGTAATTTTTATTTTTTTATTATTATTTTTTTTGGCACCCACCAAATTGCTTCTTCCAGAATGAGTCAACTAAAAGGATTTAAAAAAAATAAGAAAAGTAATAATATATTAAAATATTTACTCCACTTATAACTTTCTAAATGGGTTGAGCATAAGGTGTAATTTAATTATTCATGTCGGCAGAAATTTTAACAACTACAATTAAATACATAAATATAGAGTCAAGTCATTGCTTTTTGATTATGGGAATAAAAAGTAAAATATTAATGGTTGTCGTCATGATAAACAACACTTAAAAAATTTTTACTGATAAAAATCTTTCTTTTATTATTGTTTAATTGTCATGGCAGTTTATTATTCTTTCTTGACGATAAAAGTCTCAATTTTATAATTGTGTATTATTAGTCTTAATTATGTATTGTTTAGTGGATTGACTAATAAGTCAAGTCTAACAGCTGACCAATATGCAGCAATGTTATGTGACCCTATAACCATTAAAAGTCTGTTTGGGTTAGACTTAGCTACTGGTGGAAAGAATTTATTTAAAATCATAATTACTTTATAAATTTAATTAGATTATATCTCAAAAATGTTTATGGGGTTTTTAAAAAGCTATAAATAAATAAAATATTAATAGATTTATTTGAATTACAATTTGGAGAAATAAGCATGTGAGATGAAAACTTCATAGAATAAATTCAGTCTCTTTTGGAGTTGTCGAGCTTTTGAGAAGATGAGTTTTCCAAAGCAAATGATACCAATTGAAGTCAACACCCACAATTTCCTTCATTATGTAATAATGACTGCTTGGCAAAAACACAGAACACTTCTTGGCCGCCATTCATGTTATGTACTATAACTATTGTTAAAGTTCTCTTGCTTAATAATTGAACAATACTTTTTATTTATTTTGAAAATTGGTGGATTTAAAGAACCATAATTAAATTCATCTTAATGAAAAATTTGTACAAATAACTAAGAGAATAATGGTTTCTAAATTTGACAAAATAAATGTAAATGTTTTCAGATATTTAAACTTTTTATTTCTCCAAGAATAGGAATTTGAATATGAATTAATTAATTAATTAATTTCAAAAAGTATTTGATGATACTTTTTTGACATGGTTGATTGGGATTACTACTGGCACTGGGCAAGAGTATTTTTCCCAATTAAAGTATATTCTTAAAAAGATTTTATTACGTATAGAATCCCAATAAAAAAGGAAAAGTTTATTAATGAGAGATATAGAATCTCATTTTATGTTGAAGTTAATATATAATCTTTTAGAAGTGGGGCCTATATCTGTAAGCACTCTTAGAAATTTTGATCAAAAGTTGTAATCAAGGAAATTTCTTGCAACTTTCATGCACAAAAATTTCCAAATCAATCCTGAACTGAGATATGTTGAGATTATTGAGCATATAATCCTGTATATATAGAATGGTATTGATAACGTTCTTATCACATCCCCTTTCATATATAGTTTCTATTCAGAGTTTCAATGACCATGAAACCGAGCATGAGTATTGTCGTTCTTTTTCTTGAGTTACTAGCCTTAGCAACCATCAACATTTGCTTCTGCAACAGAAACACCCACTTGAATTGCATTGAAAGTGAGAGAGAAGCACTTTTAAGGTTCAAACATGATCTCAAAGATCCATCAAACCGGCTTACCTCTTGGAATGGTGATGGAGATTGTTGTTCATGGGCTGGTGTTGTCTGTGACAAATTGACAGGTCGTGTTCTCCAGCTCCACCTTCAAAATCCGTGGGATCCTTACAATTATACTGACATTGGTTCTTGGTATGATGTTGAGTATGATTCTGTGCATGAAGCTTATGAGAAGTCGATGTTGGGTGGTAAGATTAATCCCTCTTTGCTTGATTTGAAAGATTTGGTTTACTTGAACTTAAGCAACAATGATTTTGAAGGAATTCAGATTCCTAGATTTCTTGGTTCTATGGGAAAGTTAAGATATCTTGATCTTTCTAGAGCTGAATTTTCAGGAATGATTCCTCATCAACTGGGAAATCTCTCTGACTTGAAATATCTTGATCTTAGTTTTTCTAATCATTTGTATGCTGAGAACACTTTTTGGTTATCTGGTCTTTCTTTGCTGGAACACCTTGGTTTGAGTTGGGTGAACCTTAGCACATCCTCTGAGTGGTTGCAAGCCATAAATAATCTCTCTGTTTTAAAAGTGTTGCAATTGTCAGGTTGTCGGCTTTATAACTTTCCTCCACTACCCATTGCAAACTTCTCGTCTCTTTCTGTCCTGCATCTTTCTGATAACAATTTAGGTGACACAATTCCTAGTTGGATGTTTGGTCTTAGTGATTTAGTCTTTCTTTCACTATCTGACAATAATTTTCAAGGTCCTATTCCTGATGGACTTCAAAACTTGACTTCTTTGAGGCACTTTGATTTATATTTCAATAATTTCAACTCTACATTTCCCAATTGGTTGTACAAATTTAGCCACCTTGAGTACCTAGATTTGTCAGAAAATAAAATTGAAGGGAGACTCCCAAGATCATTTGGAACACTTTGCAACTTGAAATCAATCTATCTATTCGGTGTGAAATTAAATCAAAGTGTATCTGAAGTCCTTGATATCTTCTCAGGATGTATATCAGAGGGGCTACAGTTTTTAGATTTGGATGGATCTCAACTTTTTGGTCATTTGACGGATAAACTTGGGAAACTTAAGAATCTAGTCAGTCTTAACTTACACAACAACTCTATTCGTGGTTCTATTCCATTCTCTATGGGAAAACTTTTGTCCTTGGAATATTTAGATCTTTCCTATAACAAATTGGATGGAACTATTTCTGAAATTCATTTTGCAAATCTCACCAAACTGAGTTCTTTTTCTGCATCTCAAAACTCAATAACATTAACATTTAGTCCTGATTGGCTTCCTCCTTTTCAACTTATGTATCTAAGCTTGGATTCTTGTTTTTTAGGGCCTAAATTTCCATCATGGCTTCATTCACAAAAGAATTTAGATAAGTTGGAAATATCAAACTCAAGAATTGTAGATACCATTTCTAATAGGTTTTTAAATTCTTTTCCCCATATTACTTATTTAAACCTGTCCCACAACCAAATCCATGGAGAACTTCCAAATTTAGTTAATGTTGCTACTCTTGAATCACTTTTCTTGAATTCAAATAATCTGTCAGGTCCTTTGCCCCTTATATCCTCCAAGTTGATGAACCTAGATCTTTCCAATAACAGTTTTTCAGGATCCATTTCCCAATTTTTATGCCATGGTAAAAATGAGTCAAAGAACATGGAACTTCTCTACCTCAAAGATAATGTTTTATCTGGAGAATTACCAAATTGTTGGATGAATTACGGTAAATTGCATTACCTAAACTTAGGTAATAATAATTTTACTAGTCACCTTCCAACTTCTATGGGAAATTTAACTTCCCTTATTAGTCTTCATCTCCACAAAAACAACCTCTCTGGAATAATACCGGATTCACTTAAAAGTATCAATAACTTAGCAATACTTGACTTGAGTGAAAATCAGTTTTTTGCAAAAATTCCAACATGGATAGGAGAAAGTTTGTCAAGCATGATAATTCTCAACCTTCGTTCAAATAAATTTCATGGTGTTCTACCAGTGGAACTTTGTCGTTTATCTTCTCTACAAATCTTGGACCTTGCTGAAAACAATCTCTCGGGAACCATACCAAGGTGTGTCAATAATTTTAGTGCCATGATAACAATGGAGGATTCTTTTAGCACAAACATACCAGAATACATGAATGGGACAGATGGTCAGCTTTTGGAGGAGGCCAGCCTTGTGATGAAAGGGGAAATTGCTGAATATCGCAGTATTCTTAATTTGGTAAGAATTTTAGACTTTTCCAAAAATAATTTCTCTGGAGAGATTCCTCTTGAAGTGACAAATCTTAAAGTCTTGCAATCACTGAATTTGTCCCATAATTTTCTTACTGGAAGAATTCCTAGAACCATTGGGGCCATGATATCCTTAGAATCCCTTGATTGCTCTGGAAACCTACTGTCAGGTGAAATCCCATCAAGTACTGCAAACTTGACGTTTTTGAGTCACTTAAACTTATCCAACAACAATCTCACAGGCAGGATTCCTTTGAGCACTCAACTACAAAGTTTTGATGCATCTTGTTTTGATGGCAATGAACTTTGTGGAGATCCACTTCCTAAGAATTGCACTCCAATGCCAAACCATGAAGAAAGAGAAGATGATGGAGATGAACATGAAGTGAACTGGTTTTATGTAAGCATGCCAATTGGATTTGTGGTGGGTTTCTGGGGTGTAATTGGTCCTGTGGTTGTCAACAGAAAATGGAGGTACAAGTATGTCATTTCTTAGATCTATAGGGAACAAACTTACTTCTTTGTAAGAAAATGTTTCTAGATCCTTGATGTTTTGAGCTACGTCAGTTGGTTGAATAATGAGTACTGTACAAGATATTATACTAATACAATTTAAAGGCTTCTCATGCGAGCACCTCACTAAAATGAAGTCCACAGCTTGTGAGACCAATTTGCAAAATTACCCTCTTTTGCCTGCAAAAATTGTAAGGCGCCAACCTAGTAAATACAATGCAGCAGTGATGATGTAGAAGTAGAGCACAAAGGAAAATTCAGTAGGCACTCTAACCAGAAGAAACAGTGTCGCAAAGCTCCACAATAAATCAACAGAGGCCCTAAGCTGCTCACCTGATCTTCATTGCTCAACTCTGTATTTTAACAAAATTTAACATTAAACAGAAGTATACTAAAAACCATTCTTGTAATATAACTCAAGAATTCAGACATATAATGTCAAAGAATTCACCACAGCAATCAGGAAAGAAAATAACTTAGTTACTCAGAATTTCCTAAATCCCTAATTTTCACATTAAATAAGCAAACAAAAAGTCAAAAAAATGTTTCAAAATTGAATGTAGAATTATAAAAATAACTATCAAACTTGTATGTGTAATAGATTTACATTCAATTATCGTTCCAAAGTCAAACCAAAATTAGCAAAAAAAAAAAACTCTACACTAAGTAAATGAAATCAAGGTAGAACTACACTTTTCCATAATATACCTGTAAAACGTCACCATTGAGTGGAATCGCCTGTTCTGTCCTCCTCATTTCCTTCAGTCGCGCTGCAAATTAACAAACATATTAACAAAACAGCAACGGCAGTTGATGATATAATATTGCAACAATAAGAAAATAAATAAAAATGACTTGTCTAGGAGTTGCGGCAAAGAAAGTCGTGAATCGACGATGAAAGGCATCTCCGTCAATCTAGGCTAGATTTCCCCAAATTATAAAAGAAATAGCACTTGCAAGAAGCCGATTGCGCAAACAATCGCAATGCGAAGAACCTAGATCCAAAATCAAACAATTAAATAAAAAATTCAATGAATTATTAAAACAAAAAAAAAAAAAAAAAAATTCAGAACCTAACCTTCAGCTTCTCTTAGACTCTCTAACCTGATGAGCTCTTGCTTCCACTCTTTGCCTGAAATTTAAACAAAACATTAGGTCTGTTAGTTACGGAGACAACTGAATTCGTAAAAGTTGATGGAGATTTAGAGAGACTCTGCTTCAAGCGAAAGGTTGAATTATCACCGTCACATGACACCCACAGCTTTCAATTTACTCACACAAAGTTTTATTCCTCCTAACAAACCTGGGAACTTCACCCTCAACTTCACCTTCTCCCTCATTTCTTCTTCTTCATCTTTCTTCAGACCTTGCAGTCCTGAAGCAGAAGCTTCTTCTTTGAAAGGTTCAGAAGAGTTTTCAGCCTTCGGCAGCAGCTTGTTCTGCAACAAGAGGGCGTGAAAAACCCCAGTTCGTTTGAGCCGCAGAAGCAGCTGAGAGTTAAGGTGATGAAAGGCGGAGAGGAGGCGGTGGTCGTGGCTTCGCTGCCGGCGGCGTTGGAGTTCGGCTCGACGGGGGAAAACTTCGGCAGCTGTTCCAAGTAGTCGGATTTTTAATTTTTATTCTCTCCTTGTTGCTTGCTGTTTCTTATCTTTGTTCCTTTGTTTGTATTTTTTGATTAATTATTATTTATTTCACGGCTTAATCAAATGTTAATTATCTTGATTTAATTGCAATTATTATAAGGTAGCTGAAATTATTAGTTTTATAATTGAGATTCTGTCTAAAAATTAATCGATTCAGAAAATAGTCAAAAGTATTATCATCATCCAAAGACGTTATTACACTGATACATATACTATCATGTTAACTTCACGTTTGATACTATTTATAACTTATCATATTTTGTTTGTATAAACCTTTACGGCACTTGGCGTGAAATGCAGAGTCCACTATAACTAATACTATTTTTCCGGATTAAATGCTTATCAAATATCAATAAAACCAATTTACTAGATTAATTAAAATAATAAATAAACTTATAATTTTTTATACAATTTATCAGTTATATTGACAAAAAGAAATCTGCAAGCTGACCAATCGTAAATTACCATATTAAAGTTATATAAAAATGTAGTGTAATGTTTAATTAAATTAAATTGCAAGAATTTTTTTTTTTTTTTTCTTTCTAAGCAAAATCTGATGTGATAGTTAAAATCTTTCTCAAATTATGAACCAGGTTAATAGATAAATATGTAATACGACCTTCAACCTCATAATTTAGAGCCCATTCCCTTTACAACTTCACAATCAAATATGTTAATCACATGGCCACATGCAAGTGGGTATATACAATTTTCTCTGTTTTTCTTTTTTTTTTTTTCTTTTTTTTTTCTTTTTTTGGCATAAATATCAAATTTTCTGAATGATGAATGCATAAATAATGTAATTTTCTAGAACTTTTTTTTTTTTTTGATAGATTAACTAAATAAAAAATTACTCATATTCACATCATCTTTCAATATTTCTTCAATCCTTCAATTATAAGAAAATAAATAATTTATATACTAATTAAATCATATATAATTAAGTTGAATTATGAACAAGAGAATATAAATTGATCAATTAATTAATACTAAAAGAGTTCACATGTTGAACTGCTTATGAACCTATTATTTATTAGACCATATTATTACAAGCTAAATACAAATCATATTCGTCGTATCAACAAGTCAAGTCATTAATAGACTTAATACCAATTGAACGATCAACAAGTCAAGCATAATATGACTTGATACCAATTGAACGGACGCATATACAATCGTTCACTAGATATATAAAACATTATTCTTTTAAAATGAGAAAATTTAGAGGTGGACAAGACCCGGCCCAGGCAGTCCGATTGGGCCTCAAGGATCAGAACTAATTTGGGACCGATCTTGAAGGACCAAGCCCAAATCTTGAAAGACTGGTCCTAGGCCTATGAATTTTCTAGAGCCAGACTAGTCTACGCTTGGAAATTTAAAACAATATATATTTGTAAAGAAGGTGAAAGAACAATCACTTGCCACAAAATTCATTCATCCTGTCAATATATATTATATATATTCCACTTCAGGTCATTCCCACTCAAAAGTTATCATTTTAGTATTTTTTGCCACCCATTTTCATGTTCATGGACCTTTTCCTCCTTTTTTTTGAGGGATCCTGGTCTAAAAGTAGTATCATTTGGCACAAACCAGTCAACTAATATAGTTATGTGATTCCTTGAGTTAACATTGTTAGTTATATGATTCGAATAGAACCAGTTATTTAAGTATGTTATGACTCTTGAAAATCATCAAATCGATACTGAAACATAATATTAACTATGAGAATCATTGATACAACACTGAGAATCATCAAAAGAGAACTATCTTTTCCAAACCAACAGTTTTCAAGAACCAGCAAAAGGCAAAATAAACTCAAAATCAGGAGATTCCACATAGAAGAAAGTTCAAGACACGGGAAAAAGGAGCAGAAAGAATATTGGTATCCTCTTAAGTAGGGAAAGGCAAATACTGGGGATTTTATGAAGTGAACAGTTTTAACAAAAAACTAGTTTACCCAGTCAAGAAAGTAAAAAATGATTCAAAAACTAACAAATACAAAACAACTGGATCCTCGAAAGGGCCACTCTTCTCAAGCGATTAGGCACAATATTAGGCATACTCGGAACAAAATCCATGGCATTTATAGTTTGATCTTTCCTCAATAAAACATATAGCTCTGACCTCGAAAAATATCAAAACTCAAATAAATTACCTATTTTGCTTTTGGCAGCTCCACCTTACAAAAATACACCGCTTGCCTTTAAGGTTATGAAGCCCTAAAAGCTAGCACAGAGGTCTTTGTGGATACTGAAACTAAGTACTCATTCATAGAAATATAGACTGCTAGAACACAACTCCGGCAGGAATCGATATCTGATGCTTGGGAATCCCAATATTTTGCCCAGATGGACTCAAACTAACTGTATTCATGGTTGCATCAAAAAGAGTTTTCTGGAACTTGTCATCTTCCATCTTTGTAAGGATCTCCTTTACGAATTTAAAATCCAAGCCCCCCACCAAAATGAGCTTCCCAACAATCTCGCCAAAATTATTAGGTGCTTTGGGCAAATCAATAGCAATATCATCCATCAACCTGCCATAGTTCAAGCATCCAGTCTCTATGTCTCTAGGTGTAATTACTTTCTTAGCAAGCAAGTGTTCCAAGAGCTTCGCTAGTGGATCAACACGAGGTGGACTTTTCTCAAGTGCTAGGGAGATGGATTCTTTGACAAACTCAGGGTGGTATCCAGGAGCCTTCAATTCCTCCACACATGTTAGTGCTTCACCCAAATCTAGGATACTGAAATATTCTTCAAGAAGTGAAACTGTTTTTTTACCAAGTTCATCCATGTTCAACCTTACAGCTGGTGCCTGTGGTTTCTCCACAAATGGAGGCACATAGGGTGCAGGAGCAGGTTTAGAAGATGCAGGAGATTGGAATGAAGGTTCTGAGCCAGAATTGAAGTTGGCAGGGCGACCATGAGGGGTACCACTCCCCTGCAGCAGGGCACTTTTGCCACTCATTAAGCCGCCAGTACCCTGAGGTAATAGTCTCGTGTTAAGTGATGCTGAATGGACACGTCCCATTGGCTGAATTCCAGCTCCATCACCCCTAGGCGTACTTCGCCTCATACCAGGAATCTTTCTAGTTCCTGGTATACCATGCATCATACCACCTGAGCCAGGACGTGTGATGGGCATTCCACTTGGACCAGTAATCACTTGAGCCCCAGAGATACGATTATTTCTAATACTTGTAGTGGCACCTGGACGTAACCCCAGAGACTTTTCTGCCTCGGAATGAATTTCAGTGATTTTTTTTCCTTTAACCTGCAACATCAACAGCAGAAACAGATAAATAGATATAAAACCATAGTCAACAGTTATACAAGTATCATATAGGCCCAAAAATTTTGGGAAAATAAATATCATCCTACCTTTTCTCTCCTGGGAACCCAATTGTTTGTACGCAGATCTAGAACATCATGAACCATGAACCTCAGTCGAAAATGATTCAAAAAACTAATCAAATACAAAACCTGGATCCCTCGAAAGGGCCACTCTTCTCAAGCGATTAGGCACCATTAGGCCATACTCGAGACAAAATCCATGGCATTATAGTTTGATTTCTTTCCTCAATAAAACATATAGCTCGACCTCGGAAAAATATACAAAACTCAAATAAATTACCTATTTTGCTTTTGGCAGCTCCACCTTATCAAATAATACAGTCGCTTGCCTTTAAGGTTATGAGCCCTAAACGTAGCACAGGAGGTCTTTGTGGATACTGAAACTGAAGTACTCATTCATAGAAATATTAGACTGCTAGAACAAACTCCGGCAGGACTCGATATCGATGCTTGGGAATCAAAATATTTGCCCAGATGGCACTCACCGCAGAAGCAGCTGAGAGTTAAGGTGATGAAAGGCGGAAGAGGCGGCGGTGGTCGTGGCTTCGCTGCCGGCGGCGTTGGAGTTCGGGCTCGACGGGGGAAAACTTCGGCAGCTGTTCCAAGTAGTCGGATTTTTCAATTTTTATTCTCTCCTTGTTGCTTGCTGTTTCTTATCTTTTGTTCCTTTGTTTTGTATTTTTTGATTAATTATTTATTTATTTCACGGCTTAATCAAATGTTAATTATCTTGATTTAATTGCAATTATTTATAAGGTAGCTGAAATTAATTAGTTTTATAATTGAGATTCTTCGTCTCAAAAATTAATCGATTTAACCCAACATAGCCAAATGTATATATCACCTATCTAAAAGACGTTCTTCACATGTTTGATACTATTTATAACTTATCATATTTTGTTTGTACAAACCTTTACGAGGCACTTGGCGTGGAAATGCAGAGTACACATTATAACTAATACTACTTTTTCCGGATTAAATGCTTATCAAATATCAATAAAACCAATTTACTAGATTAATTAAATAATAATAAAATTTCACTTATAATTTTTTTATACAATTTTGAGATCATAACTCATAGTAAATCAGTTTATATTTAAACAAACAAGACATATTACAAGTTGACCAATAATAAATTACTACATTAGAGTTGTATGAAAAAATTGTAAGTATAATATATTACTTAAATTAAATTGCAAGAAAAATATATTTTTTCTTTCTTTCTAAGCAAAATCTGATGTGATATGTTATAAATCTTTCTCAAATTATGAACCATTGGATTAATAGATAAAATATTGTAATACGACCCTTCAACCCTCATAATTTGGAGCCCATTCCCTTTTACAACTTCACAATCAAATATGTTTAATGCACATGGCCACATGCAGTGTTGGTCATATACAATTTTCTTCTGTTTTTTTTTTTCTTTTTTTTGGCATAAATATCAAATTTTCTGAATGATGAATGCATAAATAATGTAATTTTCTAGAACATTTTTTTTTTTGATAGATTAACTAAATAAAAAATTTACTCATTATTCACCGTCATCTTTCAATATTTCTTCAATCCCTTCAATTATAAGAAAATAAATATTTTATATACTAATTAAATCATATATAATTAAGTTGAATTATGAACAAGATCGATATATTAAATTGTATCAATTAAATTACTAAAAGAGTTCACATGTTGAACCTATTATTCATTTAGACCATATTATTACAAGCTAAATACAAATCATATTCGGTCGTATCAACAAGTCAAGTCATTAATATGGCTTGATACCAATTGAACGGACACATATACAATCGTTCACATAGATATATAAAACATTATTTCTTTTAAAATGAGAAAATTTAGAGGTGGACAAGACCCGGCCAAGTCAGTCCCAGGGCTGAACCCTCAAGGATCGGACCTAATTTGGGACTGATACTTGAAGGACCAAACCCAAATCTTAAAGACTGGTCCTAGGCCCATGAATTTTCCTGGAGCCCAGACAAGTCCTATGCTTGAATTTTTTTTTTAAAAGTATATTTTAAAACCTAAATTTATCATGTATATTATAAGAAGGCTTTAAATACTTTTGAGAAGGGTTTATGTAATTTGAGGGGTTTTAAAAATTAACAAGCCCGGACCTGGGACCGGTCCCACCTAAATTGGGTCTGGTCCTGTCCTACCAAGGACGGGTCCTAGGACTGAGTTTTGAGCCCAGACCCCTCTAGGAAAATTCCATTCACTAGAAATGTAGAAGAAACCGGCAGGTTTTGAACTTTACATAGCTCTGCCATAAGAATGATGGGGGTGAGCATCATGGGATCAAAAGATTGAGACCCTATGCAAAAATGCTGCAGTTCTTGCAGCAGCAAACAAAAGTAAAGTGCCACAAAATTCATTCATTCTGTCAAAAAAAATAAAATATATATATATATAATCCACTTGAGGTCACTTTCCCACTCAAAAGTTGTCATCATTTTAGTATTTTTTGCCACCCATTTTCATGTTCATGGACCTTTTCCTCCTTTTTTCTGAGGGGTGCTGGTCTGAGAGTAGTATCATTTGACACAAACCATTCATCTAATGTTAGTTATGTGATTCCTTAACATTTGTTATATGATTCCAAATAGAACCGGTTATTTAAGTATGATGTTATTGACTCTTGAAAATCATCAAATACGATACTGAAACATAATATTAACTATTGAGAATCATTAGATACAACACTGAACCATGATACTATCAACTACTGAGAATCATCAAAAGAGAACTATGTTCTTTTCCAAACCAACAGTTTTCAAGAACCAGCAAAAGGCAAAATAAACTCAAAATCAGGAGATTCCAACTATAGAAGAAAGTTCAAGACACAGGAAAAAGGGGCAGAAAGAATAATTAGTATCCTGTTCAGTAGTGGAAAGGCAAATACTTGGGGATTTTTATGAAGTGAACAGTTTTAACAATAAACTAGTTTTACCCAGTCAAGAAAGTAAAAAATGATTCAAAAACTAATCAAATACAAAACAACTGGATCCCTCGAAAGGGCCACTCTTCTCAAGCGATTAGGCACAATATTAGGCCATACTCGAGAACAAAATCCATGGCATTTATAGTTTGATTTCTTTCCTCAATAAAACATATAGCTCTGACCTCGGAAAAATATACAAAACTCAAATAAAATTACCTATTTTGCTTTTGGCAGCTCCACCTTATCAAATAATACATGTCGCTTGCCTTTAAGGTTATGAAGCCCTAAAAGCTAGCACAGGAGGTCTTTGTGGATACTGAAACTGAAGTACTCATTCATAGAAATATTAGACTGCTAGAACAAACTCCGGCAGGACTCGATATCTGATGCTTGGGAATCCAAAATATTTTGCCCAGATGGACTCAAACTAACTGTATTCATGGTTGCATCAAAAAGAGTTTTCTGGAACTTGTCATCTTCCATCTTTGTAAGGATCTCCTTTACGAATTTAAAATCCAAGCCCCCCACCAAAATGAGCTTCCCAACAATCTCGCCAAAATTATTAGGTGCTTTAGGCAAATCAATAGCAATATCATCCATCAACCTGCCATAGTTCAAGCATCCAGTCTCTATGTCTCTAGGTGTAATTACTTTCTTAGCAAGCAAGTGTTCCAAGAGCTTCGCTAGTGGATCAACACGAGGTGGACTTTTCTCAAGTGCTAGGGAGATGGATTCTTTGACAAACTCAGGGTGGTATCCAGGAGACTTCAATTCCTCCACGCATGTTAGTGCTTCACCCAAATCCAGGATACTGAAATATTCTTCAAGAAGTGAAACTGTTTTTTTACGAAGTTCATCCATGTTCAACCTTACAGCTGGTGCCTGTGGTTTCTCCACAACTGGAGGCACATAGGGTGCAGGAGCAGGTTTAGAAGATGCAGGAGATTGGAACAAAGGTTCTGAGCCAGAATAGAAGTTGGAAGGGCGACCAGGAGGGGTACCACTCCCCTGCAGAAGGGCACTTCTGCCACTCATTAAGCCACCAGTACCCTGAGGTAATAGCCTCGTGTTAAGTGATGCTGACTGGCCACGTCCCATCGGCTGGATTCCAGCTCCATCACCCCTAGGCATACTCCGTTGCCTAGGTACCTCCCAATTATCATTGTCAATTCCAGGCATCCCAGGCATCTTTCTAGTTCCTGGCATGCCAGGCATCATACCACCTGAGCCAGGACGAGTGATGGGCATGCCACCTGAACTAGTAACAACTTGAGCCCCAGAGACACGACTATTTCTCATACTTGCAGTAGCACCCGGACGTAACCCTAGATTTTTTTCTGCCTCTGAATGAATTTCTGTTATTGTTTTTGCTTTCACCTGCAATATTAAAAGTAGAAAGAGATAAATAGATATAAAACCAGAATCAACAGTTATACAAGTATCATATATGCCCAAAAATTTTGGGAAAATAAACATCAGCCTACCTCTTCTCTCCTGGGAACCCAGTTGTTTGTACGCAGATCTAGAACATCACGAACCATGAACCTCAGTCGGGGAGCAAGCTGAGGGTTTGAAGTCAAGTCCTTCAACCTACTAAAGTACATATCATTTATACGCCGTGATTTTGGACTCTCATCAAGCTGCTTATCGATGGTGTTGAAAAACTGACATATGGCCTCAACATTTTCTTCTGCGGGATAAGATGCACTATCATGTCCCAAAAGTTCCTGAATAACACAATGAGAAAAAATGAGCAACATTAAATAACACATAAATGTCTCAAAATTAATTCATCTTTTCAATCACCATCCCCAGCACAAACCTGAACAATGTGATGGACAATCTTTTCAGGCACCATCTTCTGCTTCAGAAGCTCACCAATTAAATGAATGTTTCCAAGAGTACGAAGCTTGAGCATTCTTTCTTTACCTCTACGCTCCATTTCCTGCTCTGGAGTAGTCATCTGCCTTACTTCTTCCCCTAGTTCGTAAGAACCCTCAAATGCCTTCTGGCAATTATTCAAGAGGAGACGTTTAACCGTGATTTCTTTCCCACCAGGTTCATCCGAGGGAATTGGGGGGAGCTTTTCATTCAAATCAAAACATAGCTGAGCGTACATGGGGCAGAATGTGGGCTCAAGAACAGCCTTATCATATATAAGAGATATAACTCCCTATTGCAAACAATGAAGAAATTCAGTAAACAGCTTGATAAATTTCTGAAGATATCAACACATTAAAATACAAAAAGGAATAGACCTGTAAGATATAAGCTGATGTGATGCTAGAGTCCATGAGTTGACCCTTAACGAGATCAAATTTTTCAGGGGTAAGTTTATTCGAAATACTGCAAAGGAAACAGAATATAAGAATCAGAAAACCAATTGCTACTCATGTTTCATGAGCCGTTTACAAGCAATAAATTTGCATTACATCAAGAAATCAACTATTGAAATATTCAGTAATTAAGAATAACATCCTTCACCATGTGCTAGATTATATTTGGAACTCAAAGATTAAAACAGTGATTATGTTACCAAGGTTGTTAATATCAATTTTCAATTACTCGTTACATTGCAGAAAATAAATCAATAAAAGCATTACCATCAAGACATGTCCTTGTCATAGTGATTTCCCCTTCTCGCCGACCATAGAACCTCAGCCTTGACTAAAACAGGAGTTGGTCCCTGATTCTGTAGAAATGTGAAGGCAAATGAGCAATTTCTTGAAATGAATTTCTCATTTACTTGAATAAAGAATGAAGTTTGTACATTTCAATATATGAAGAACAGAGAAAGAGTAAAGTAACTCTTAAGAAGACGAGCAACTAACAAAAAAATAGTTAATATAAAACTACACCGCTTAACATAAAAACAGTCTACACCCTATTGATTCAACAAATAACAGAGCAAACCTTAATCTTTGATATATCAACATTCCCCCTTAAACTGGAATAGGTAACTTTCCAGTTTAGCTTTTGCTAGCAGGACTTTCAAAAACTTTCATTCTGAATCAGTTCAACTGTAGCAATTTCTTCCATTCTTGAATCAGTTCAGCTGTAGCAATTTTTAGCAATTTTCTAGTTCAATTTCAATTCTGCTATACTTCATCTTTAGCTATACTCCAAAAGTTTCAGTTTAGCCAGTGCAACCCCACTTCGTAACCGTACTTCAATTAGTTACACTTTGTGACTATACTCCAACCAGCTACAATTCATTTCAGTTTGTTCCACTTATCTTTACTTTAGTTCAGTTGCCAGTTTAGCTACATTCTCATGTCATTAACACTTTAAATTTCAGTTCATTCAATTCTCAGTCCAACGGCAGAATGCAGAACACAAAAATACAATACCTCAAAACTTCAAACTTAGTTTATTCAATTTTTCTACACCTCAGTTCAGCAGTAAGAATTCAAAAAATATAGTATCTCAAAGCTTCAAACTCAGTTCATTCAATTCTTCTACACCTCAGTCCAGCAGTAAAATGCAGTACACAAGATGTTGAACGCAGTATTGCCAGCAACAGAATGCAGAGCACAAGATGCTTAATACAGTATTGTCAGTCGCAGAATGCATAATACAAAATGCAGTATTTGCATCACTTCAGCACACATTGTCGTAAAAAAAAAAAAAAAAATGCATTGTGTGTAATCAAAGTGGCTCTAAAGTATAATTACCATACTAACAACATTCAACTTACTCCGTAATTCAGTAAATTGTGCTACTGTTAAAGCTTTGGTCAAGAGATCAACTATTTGGAGCTTAGAAGGCACATATTGGATAAATAGCCTTTTTGCTAACACTTGCTCCCTTATATAATGAGCATCAATCTTTATGTGTTTAGTGTGAGCATGAAACACATGATTGGAGGCTAGAGCTCCTACACTAACATTATCACACCAAATGACAGGTTTGGCATTAAGCTGTAGACCTAACTCTGTAAATAAACCATAACTCCATCAGTTTATCACTAATTCCTTTTCTTTTCCTTTGCCCATGGAACCACAAACTTATTAGCGAGCTAGCTTCTCTTTCCTGAAATAACATATGAAAATTTGGAGAATCTGTGTGAAACAGTAGCAACAATTCAGAGAAACGTAAAAGGAGTGCAAGAAAAATTGATTTTTACTTCTCCATTTCAATTGAACTAACGGACAAGGGAATCACTTTCCCTTTTATACAACTCGAGCTAACATAACATACTAATATTCTTTGTAAAACAAAACAACATCACTTTTGCCAAAGTTCAATTTGCTCCTGCTACTTGACACTTTTACATTTACATCCCTTTTGGTCAACACTTCCCCTCAAACCAAACTGGGGAGTTTTAGTACTTTCACTCTTGCACCTTTTAGGCAATAATTCATTTCAAACAAAACTGTAAAGCCTTTAAGATTCTTGACCTGTTACATAGAAGTTTTATTCTGTAGTAGCTTTATAGGATCAACAACATCTCAAAATTAATCCAAAAAAAAAAAAAAAAAAAATTAATCCAGCTGAGAACAAAGCTGAGTAGCTGAGTAGTTGCATATATGCCAACTTCATACTTTCACAAAACATCAAATTAGCACAGATCATAAGTTGCATAAAATTTGCACATTTGAGAACTTTATGGTCTCACATCCACAAGAGCAAGAAAGTCAAAATAGACTGATTCCAGAACACTATCAGGATATCTTTTCCGCAAGAACAGGTAAGGATTGAAATGACTGATTTCAGATTTTCCACAATCCTCAAAAAGATAATGCATTGAACAACCATGCAACTCCTCAAGCAACAAGTCATAACTCCATAATTCCACAACCATAGGAACATATAAAGACTGACACCAGTGTATAAAGTGCTCAGTCATAGAAGATTACTTACTCAAAAGCAGTGTTAACTTCTGGTTGATGACAGAGTTACCAATGATTGATGATGTTGAATATTTTTGTTAAATTTATGTTATCTGTGTGCATAGTTGTTGTGTGTGTGCACACTGAAGTCAAACATATGCATGTTGCATTTCATCACGCATTTTACTTCGTGTGTGCGCACACTCTTCTTCTGTGCTAACATCGCATGTCTGACTCACTTTACATAAGTTGCGTTTTTTACTTAACAGCTAGGATATTTTCTTTGCATCTTTTGTGTTGTCATTTGGACCACTTACAAGTGTCCCAATATCCTTTAGTGGTCCAGGAAAAATCAGACTTTTTCCCTTTTTGATTGTGGTCCCAAAAGATAGATGAAATCTTTTCCATTTTTAGACCAACATATGTCAGCCCTTGTTTGCTGACTTGGCAAGAATTGGGGAGCACAAAATTGGCCTTTATCATTCTTGCTCATTTGTAAAGCCAACCTTTGATATTGTATTTGTTTGTACTCTGATTCTTTTTGCACATGTGGTGTCTTTCTTATATTATCTTGCCCATCAAGTTTTATCTCTTTCATGGTTTTTGTGTGAGTTTTCTCTTTATAGGTGTCTGTCTCTCCTCTTGTGGTCCTGCAAAGTTGGTGAGCTTTTTTTTGTGGTCCCAACAAAAGATGAAAGAGATTTTCCGCACTTGTCTTAAAGAGATTGGTCAAGCAAGGATTATTTAAATCAACCTTCTTCTTCCTTGCATCTTTGAACCTGGATATTATTTTTTTGTTTGTTCTCTGAAATTCTTCAAAGAGTTTATTCCTTGAGAGGTTCCATTTATGGTTTGATGCTTAAATCATTTTGTTCATCTTTGTTTATTGTTTTTTGTTGCTGGAACTTGGTTCTTATGCTAAGAGCTTGAAAGGAGTTCAAGCCATGGAAGCTAGAGGTGTTCTTGGATGAGTGAAGCTTGGATGGAGCTCAAGCGTTGTCCAGGAGTGTTCCTTGTGTGGAGTGATCCTAGAAGCGACGAAGTGTTAGAGATTTAGAGGCTGGTGTTTAATGTAACGTAGAACAAGGAGTTCTCTTTGTTGTAGCTAAAATCAACTATGAGTGATATCTTGTAATGTTTGTTGTTATACTGGATTAGCTTCGATCTGGGCGAGGTCTCATGGATTTAGGCTAAGAGTAGTTTTAGCCGAACCATGTATATGTTTGTGTGCTTTATCTTTATTGCTTGTGGTTGTTGATTCATGCTTAACTTGATAACCATTAATTAACTTGGTAAAATCTTCCGCTGCACTTTAAAAATGGGTATCTAACATTGAATAGAGTTCACCAACTCAAACAGATAAAAAACAGAACAAATTGTACATCAATGAAGAGATTTATATTAAGCAGGCATGTTAAGAGCAACTACGTTCAGCTTTTGTCTTAACTAAGAGAATTGAGCAGCAAACAAAGGTTTGGTCAGCAAGTCAACTATTTGAAGCTTGGATGGGACATATTGAACCACCGAACTTTTAGCAAGAACTTGTTCTCTAATATAGTGAGCATCTATCTCTATATGCTTTGTCCTTGCATGAAAAACTGGGTTTGAAGCTAAGGCACCTGCACTAACATTATCACACCAAATAACAGGAGTTAAATGCAAGATAATTCCTAGCTCTGTAAACATGCTTTGCAACCAAGCAACCTCTGTAGCAGTCTGGGCCAAGGCTCTATATTCAGCCTCAGTAGAAGATAAGGCTACCACCTTCTATTTTCTTAAGCTCCAATGAATCAAGTTAGGACCCAAGTGGACACAATACCCACTTCTGGACCTTTTATCCTCAATATTGTTGCCCCAATTAGCATCAGCATAACACTCTACATGTGAGGAGCTTGTAGGTGTGAATGGTAGCCCAAAATTCAATGTGCCTTTAATGTATCTAAGTACTCTTTTGCAAGCTTTCCATTGTAGCTCGGTTGGAGCTTGTAAAAATTGACTTAGCTTGTTAACAGTGAAGCTAATATCTGGTCTTGTAAGGGTTAAGTATTGTAGTGCTTCTATGGTACTTCTGTATAAACTCGGGTTCTCAAATGGTTCACTTTCATGGCTACTTAGTTTAGAACCAATGGCCATAGGTGTAGAGAATGGATTAGCTTCAATCATCTTAGTTTTGATAAGTAAGTCAGAGGCATATTTGGATTGTTTAAGATGAATTCCAATGGGTGATCTATTTGCTTCCAAACCTAAGAAATACTTGAGAGAGCCTAAAGTCATGAGGGTTAACTGATCATTCAGGTCTTGCACTAGTTGGGAAATATAGATTGAATATGATCATGTCAAAAGGATATCATCCACATACACTAGGACATAGATAAGACCAGATGGTAGTTTAAGGCAAAACAGGTTGGAGTCAGAGACTGACTTCTTGAATCCTTTGGCTTGAAGAGCATGTTTCAACTTGTCAAACCAGGCCCTTAGAGCCTGTTTAAGTCCATAAAGGGCTTTGTTCAATTTACACACAAAGGAAGGCTAAGTGGCTTATTCAAACCCTATAGGTTGCTTCATATATACTGTCTCGTTCAAAATGTCATTGAGAAAGACGTTGTTTACGTCAATCTACTAGATGTCCCAAGCATTGGTGACAACTAAGGTGAGGATAATTCTTATTGTAGAGGGCTTAATGACTAGACTAAATGTCTCAAAATAGTCCAATCCAGGGGTTTGTTGAAACCCTTGGCAACTATCATAGCTTTGTATTTTTTGTGGGTGCCATCTGCATTAAACTTGGTCCACTAGTACAAGACTTGAATGATCAGTTTGCCCTCAAGACTTTTGGCTCTCTCAAATATTTCTTGGGTCTGGAAGCCAATAGATCACCTACTGGAATTCATCTTAAACAATTCAAATATTCCTCTAATTTACTCATCAA